TTTAAAGAGTCCTCTCCTGCTGATGTTCAGGTGTATATCAGTATGTAGTGTCTCTACTTTAAAGAGTCCTCTCCTGCTGATGTCCAGGTGTATATCAGAATGTAGTGTCTCTACTTTAAAGAGTCCTCTCCTGCTGATGCTCAGGTGTATATCAGTATGTTGTGTCTCTACTTTAAAGAGTCCTCTCCTGCTGATGTTCAGGTGTATATCAGTATGTAGTGTCTCTACTTTAAAGAGTCCTCTCCTGCTGATGCTCAGGTGTATATCAGTATGTTGTGTCTCTACTTTAAAGAGTCCTCTCCTGCTGATGTTCAGGTGTATATCAGTATGTAGTGTCTCTACTTTAAAGAGTCCTCTCCTGCTGATGTTCAGGTATATATCAGTATGTAGTGTCTCTACTTTAAAGAGTCCTCTCCTGCTGATGTTCAGGTGTATATCAGTATGTAGTGTCTCTACTTTAAAGAGTCCTCTCCTGCTGATGTTCAGGTGTATATCAGTATGTAGTGTCTCTACTTTAAAGAGTTCCATGCTTTAATGTTCACAAAGCTCTTTATTTTTCTCATACTGCCTGTGCTGCAGCACCTCTTTTCACCCTCTGTCTGAAACCAGAGCCCAGTCTGCTCTGATTGGTTAGCTGACCGGCTCTGTTGTGATTGGTCAACCAGCTCAGAGATTTGTCAGTGTTACATAGTGATGTCACTTTACAGAAGTAAACAAAGGAGTTGAATGGAGGCGTTTCAGGCAAGGGTGTGGGAGAGAAACTTACTCTGGATTTTAGCCTTTGAAGATTATTTCCATTCCCAAAAACATATATAACACACAAGAGGAAAGGGAGAATAGGGCCTCTTTAATTTAATGTTGTGTAAAGAGCCTTTGAAGCTGTTATTAAGGGATTTGAGGAACACATAATACTGAATAATGAGACCACGGATCCAGCTGACATTTCACAGCAGATTGTACTTTTTTTTTAGCTTAGGCACTATCATAAGGGAATCATGATTCTTTCACCTCTTCTTCCCAATGAACTTTAAAAAGGAGGGTTTTTATTTCACTGAGCTTGTATCACTGCACCCCCGACTTCTCACTCCGCTGCCTCAAGAGACACAGAGGGAAATAAATAGAGAAACCAAAATTGATTTTTCTGCTCTTTGAAAGCCCCAAATGTGTTTTTTTTATAAATCCTCAAATCCTTGGAATAAAAAGCTACTAATTTCTGCGGAAATACAATTTCCTCTATGTATTGATATTTGACCGCCTCATTGTGGAGGCCAATGGTAATCATTAGACAGATTAGCGCTCAAATAATATTCAATGAAATTAAATTTTTAGGAAGCCCATTATAGTTGAGTGACCTTCTCTGAGCTCATGAGTCAAACTGGGAATGAGACTCTGAGAATAATGTGAGTTTTGGGGGGAGTTTTCCAATGATGGGCTGTCAAAGTGCTCTCTACTGCGGGAAGAACAAGGAGGAAATGAAACTAAAAATAAGTAAATTATTCAGACAGACTTGAGCTGTCTTTCTATCTCTCTGACTGCCGGTCTATCCAGTTGCAGTTCTATAGAAATAACAGGATCTTGATGGGAATCAGTCAAGCTAAATACAGCATGACACTCCTATGAAACGGAGCATTACTAACCAATTCCTGTTTACTGATGTTCCTCCTCCTATTTTTAACAATAATAGCAAGCAACACATCTAAAGGCCCCTACACACCAAACTGACACCAAAGAACACGTCCCGACGGAACACGACTGTTGTGTCGCCTCACGTCTCCTGCGTCTTGGCCATGTGTCGCACTGGAACACACCGCAAAAGCTTCAGCCGAAGGCCAAGAAGCACGTACGAGCTGCGCATGCGTGAGTGGCAATAACTCTCCTTACCAGCAGGCGGCGGTAGTGTGTATTCGTCATTCAAAAGAGGCAACAACCGGAAAACAGAGAAGAAGAACTCCGTGATATAAACAAACAATAAATAGCGTGTGCGTTCCATTTTCACTCTACAACGAGAAGCTCATGGGGCTTTCCCGAACCTGTGTCGAGAGCTGCTGGAGTCATGGATGGTAATGTCTGTCTGTCCAGATTTAAATGTCTCCACAACTATTGGCTGAATTACATTTTCATTTTATCTTCAATTGGACATTTTACTTTAACTTCTAAAGGACTTGTATGTCTTATGTTTATCTCGCTTTTTTTTTTTAAATCTTATTATTGGACTTTTTTTTTCTCTTTAAACTTCTCGTTTATATATTTATTGTTTTTTACTTTTTATTGGACATATCACCAAGACTTCTTGTGTTTATAGAAGTATATATTTTCGTATGTTTAATTGTCTTCTTAGTTCATTTTTTAAGATGGAGCCACTTTAACTAAACCCACTTTCCCTTGGGATGAATAACTCTGACTCACTTTGGGGATCTTTGAAATGTTGTTTTCAAAAATGATATGTGAACAATATTTGTTTTTATAACCAAAAACCCGCAGAACTAATGCGAGTGACATCGCCGTCCTTTGTGTTTAGAGCCAATTAGCAAATATTAGCATTCAAACCTTCTACATTTGGATTGGGCAACACTGATAACAGTCTGTAAGCATTGAGATTATTATCGATTCATCTGACATTTATTTTGTCTCTCAAAATAAAAATGTTCTTGTTCAATTTCTCAGAGTCAAGGTGACATATTAACCTTGTTTGTTTTTATTCAGTCCCTAACAAATATTTCGTTTTTTTATATTATTTGATAAACTCGGAGGCTTAAACCAGGGAAGGCTTGTAAAATGACTGAAACATTAAATCAATTGTAAAAAAAATGGTGTCTGATGAATTTCCCGTGGACTAAGTAATCCATTAATCTTGTCAGTGAAATCACAAATCATGGAGAACTCATTAGACGAGGAGAGGTCCTAACGTTTGGCAGGCAGCTCTTCTTGTCCATAAACTGATAGCTGGCAGTCTGATGGAAAAAGTTTGCCTAATAAATCAATAATAAATCAAATGATGTCAAACGATGGGAGGTTTATGACTCACGAGTATCACGAGTCACTCTGTGCCTCCTTTCTAAAACCTCTCAAAGAATCATGATCAGAAGGAGGAGGCTCACCATCTCCGGAGAGGCTGTTCTGTCAGAGGGACGCTCCGCAGAGCCGCTCCCAACAGCATCAGGAAGGCCGAGAGGAGGAGGGACGCCCGCAGACCTGGGGGAGAGAGAGAGGGTGATGAAGAAGGAGAGAAGGGTTAAGGGTCACCTATTATGCAAAATCCTCTTCTTCATGTCTCTTCTACATCAACATGTGTCCCCTCTTCTTCATGTCTCTTCTACATCAACATGTGTCCCCTCTTCTCCATGTCTCTTCTACATCAACATGTGTCCCCTCTTCTTCATGTCTCTTCTACATCAACATGTATCCCCTCTTCTTCATGTCTCTTCTACATCAACATGTGTGATTCTCTCTCTTTTTGATCCATTTCTATAAAAACCTGTCTGAAAACGAGCTGATCAGATTTTGGCCACTTTATGATGTCATAACGATGTGTTGTCTTGTGTAACCATTAGCCAATCAGCAACCAAGGTAAGATCATGAAATGGGGTCCAGAGGGGAAAACATGGTTGTGGTCACCACCTCATTCTCAGGGTTCATTTAAAGAGGCCCTATTATGTTTGTTGGGGTGTTGTCTTTCCTGTAATGTGTTTGTATATAGGTTTTAGTGCATGTAAATGGTCTGCAGAGGCTACAATCCCTGTGTCTCCCTCCCCCACCTGAAACAACTCCATTTGATTCCTTTGTTTACTTCTTGAACACAGTGTTGTCACTTTGTAACAATTGCACTTCTATTGGCTAGCGTTCCTACACATTGTATGTGGTAGGCTAAGGGGCGGGACATCTCTAAGCTGTTGACCAATCACAACAGAGCCGGCCAGCTAACCAATCAGAGCAGACTGGGCTCTGGTTTCAGACAGAGGGTGAAAAGAGGTGCTGCAGCACAGAGAGTATGAGAACAATAAAGAGCTTTTAATACTTGGCAGAAGAGTAGTACTTTTTTTCATTTAATTAAGAACTTTAAAGCAGATGGTTTCAAGTGAAATGAAAGACAGAAATAAAGAAATACTCCCAGGAAGAATGCAGACCAACTTCCTTTCTCTATCAACTATTCTCAGTTTCCCCCACATGACGTTCAATAGAGGAAACTCTCTCCACTTCCCTGTTCTCCTCTTTCCCTGCCAGTTGCTATTTACACAAGCTTTAAACGAATCAGTAGATATTAACACCAGTGGCCTGGGGTGGATCTGTGCTTTAACGATCAGCAAAACAGCTCTTAGTTAGTGGGCGCCCATAACCTATGACAGAAATGTATATATTGTTACACTGATATGAGATTATTGAGCCATTTCAGTTCTCTCCACTTCTGTGTTCATTGTCTTTTTGAATTGTGAATTTGCGTTTCTGCTGCTTTCAGTCACAATAATTTTGCTGCAGAAAAACAATGGACCTTTTCTCATGCATGTGGGTTCATATGAAACTGCATTTGAATCTAGTCAAACTAAAAAGTCAGTAACCTATATTTATCAGAGGCCTTTAAAGCCGGACTTGAGCTTCATTCCCACTTCAATGGGTGGACGAGCTCCTTTTCTCACCTTCTGCATTATGTAGCCTATTATGTAAGACCTACTACTCCCTAGTGACCTCACCACATGTGACCTATTCTAGTACTCCAGCTTCTCTTCGATGGCAACTATACTGTGATCATCACCAGCCCTTAGGGAAGGGAAACTCCAGGGTGAGCATTTTCCCCACTAACAGTTTGGAGTGTGCGTGTCATACATAGACAACAGTGTAGGCCTGAGTCAGCCTCTGGATGTCATGTTGTTGTTTTTAAACAGGGTCACACCCCGGCTTAATGCAATTTCTGAATGCTGAATGAGCCGCACTGACTCGATATGCAACTCTGAGGCAGAATAAGCTGCACGCTGGGTACAAATTGAGTATTAACTTTACCGGTATGAGGTGAAGCTGGATTCTTTTATATATTATACAGTGTTAGATTCATTGTTTACTCACTGACAGCAGCAGATGGGATAGCAGCTTCGCATCATAAACAGGGGCTTCCTACTCCTTTTCCAAAAGTTGAATTCAAACATATTTCAAGGTGCATTTTGGAGCTTTTCAAGCACCTCACAACTCAACTTGTGACTGACATACTGTATGTATATCCAGCATACAGCATGTTACTATACTGATTATTCCACTACTTAGTCAGTTTCAATGAGATGTTTTTGTCCTTTTAACAAATAATATTATTTGATGCGATTCTACAGAAGGTTCAAAAAGAAAACACAAGGACTTTGTTTTATAATGTGTTGCCTTTTTGTAAGAAGACTAAGCTTTCTTGATAAGCTACATTTTAAAGAAAGCCCTTTTAAAACTTTAAAAACACAACATTTATGTATCTTCAGGGATTTCCCGCAGCCGTAGTAACACTGGATTAATTTGAATTACCAAACACCCTCTAATTGCTGATGAATCAGGATCACAAGGTACGTTTTGCAATGTCTTGGAAACATTTATCTCGCGGTCTGTTTCATGAGGATCCTGGTGACTGGTGTTGTCAGTGCGTTGTTACCACTGGTTGCTATACTGTCAGTCAGGTGGTGCGGAGGAACTGGTTAGGTGAACTGAGCTGACACTCAGCAGCTCAAGTCAAAAGCTGTACTGCATGTCAAGCACTTTACAAAGTGTTCGGTGTTTTTTTAAGACCATTGTGAATTCGGGAAAAGTTTGTTGTTTTTTCTGCATCAGCACTTTTAACTTTCACATTCGTCGTACTCTGATGCACGACAGAGGGCACGGAAAAAACACTTTGCACCAAACCTATGTTCATTTAAAAAGTGACAGTGGTATCAATACACTGTTTTTAAGGACCATGTCAGTGATAAATAAACTTGTTGAGGTGTGTGGCGCAGTGGGTAGGGCGTTGGTGTTCGGATCAGGGGGTCACAGGTTCAAACCCCACTGCAGTCAGCATGTCGTTGTGTCCCTGAGACACTTCACCCCAAATTGCTCCTGTGGGGATTGTCCACAGTATTGAGTATGTAAGTGGCTTTGGAGAAAAGCGTCTAACAAGTAGTAATGTAATGTTGAGTAAGTTATCAAAAGTACCAAATAGTTGCTGTTGTTGTCTCTGCTTAATACCAATAGCATTGACTACTGGGCCATTAGACTTTATTCATATTTATAACAGTCTCTTCTAC